TAGTACGTAGTACGTACGATACGTACGTAGACGTACGATACGAGTACGATAGAGTAGAGTAGAGAGAGAGAGAGAGAGAGAGAGAGAGAAGAGAGAGAGAGAGAGCAATGTCTAAAATAATTAAGAAGTATATCATAGCATATGTAACCGTACTGTGCAATTTGGTACATATAGAGTTAGCATCCATTTTAAACAAAAATTTGGTACAAGTACCATTATATTCAAAATTTCAAACACATCATAGACCTTACAAAAGATCAAGTAGATCCATGTTCTACCTGAACAATGACAGATTCCAGGCTACTTCCCAACAATGGTTATTCTGAATTAGCTCAATGATTTTTTTATTTCTGTTGTATCCATACAAAGATCGTACCTAGGAATCACCTGAATAGGTTCGGTCTACTTAGAAACGGACCCCTAGTGATTCAGGATCTGATTCGGGTTTTTAAGACCTTGGCCCTATAAATAGATGGGGGATGTTGGAGAGAGAGATTGGGACGATGGTGGCCCCCCTGCTCTCTTCAACATCTTTAATAGATCGACTGTATAGTGCTTAGCTCAGATTTACCATAGTTAACATAACATTTTTTCAAAACTTGTTTTCTAAAACAAAAATAAGATAAACAAAAATGGGAAAAATTGGGAAAGTTGTCAAGATATTAACAATGCATGTTAATTCTTTCCCCAAGGATTTTAAGAAAATGGAAATATTTGTTATCATGCTCTACAAAGAGTAGAAAAGCAATATTTGATATGAACATATTGCTAAAATTCTAATATTGAAGCACACATGCACACGCCAGATTCCGATTATTTAGTCATTTGTACTACGATTACTTAGTCATTTGTACTAAACTATGACTATAGGATTCTGCCTCTTTGTAAAGTAGATTAGGATGCAATGGCAGCAACAGTATAAGCAATCACAAAAACATGAAACAAAAAGGGAATCAATCTATCTCTGTTACTTTTAGAATGTTTTGTATTTTTTGGCTACTTTGTAGAAATACGAGGAAGGATAAATATTGGAAAGTATTAAAAAAAGATGGCTAACCTAGGTTAAAAAGGCCAGAATCAACCCAAGCCATTAGGTGTGAAATTATGAAGTTTGAGTGAATTTTCCTCAAAAACTGTGGAAGGAAATGATGCACCCCAGAGGTTCGATTTTACAACTGCTTGGGGTGTTTGTGGAGTTTATGCGCGAAAGGTAACAGGCCCAAAATCTTTGTAGCAAGATAGCCATAAAGAATACTACATTGTTACTAAATGCAAAAGTTAGCACATTAAAAAAAAAGATGGTCATAAACAATGTGAAAAGAATAGAGCCAAATGCTACAAAAATAACCAACTTTACAAAAAGATTGGGAAGAATACTCTCAATTGTCACACATCTTAGTTCAATCTATCCATCCCAGCACTACTCTTGCATGAACATGCTTAGTTGTCCAAGATCAGGAAAAATAGATTCATATGTACCAAAGCTCAGACAGATATGGGACCAAAGAAAACTTATGAAATGAATTTAATGCTTACCCAGGATTCTCCTAACTGTTGCAAGATTGTTAGTGACTCCAGTTGCTGTCTCATTATGAACAATGCAAATGGCCTTAATGGTGTGCCCTCTATCCTCGGCCAGTTTCGACGCGAGCGCATCGAGATTCGCTCCTTGTCCCCATTCACTCTCTATAACATCCACATTGAAATTGAGGCGTTGTTGTTGATCGATCCATAGGAGACTGAATTGCCCCATTAGGAAAGAAACGATTCGATCTCTTGGTGACAGAGTGTTTGTTAATGCACTCTCCCATGCTCCAGTACCTGTGCTTTCAAGACAAGGAATTCAAAATGATGAAATGAAAGAAGGCAAAGTGTACTATAATCCCATGAGCATAGAAATAATATAGTTCATTGGATCAGCATCATTGAATCAACATATGAATGGTGCAGTACACGTAGTGGGACCCACAATTGGGGACACATTATGCACAGGTGGTTCCACGTATTCTCTAATAATCATTGTCGCTCCATTTATTGGATTATGATATCTCGAAGGACTCGTGTTTCCATAGTCCATGGGAATATAGTTTATTCCATAGAGGATTATCCAAACTCCATGTTATATATATATTTTTTTTTTCCAGAACATAGCACCATAGTACGTAGTAGAACAACCATCTGATGTGAGATCTGATAGCTAGGGTATGTTACAAAATTCAAGAAAATTTATTTTGAACTTTGAGCTTGGTCAATAGAAAAAATATACCCATCCAATTTCACATATAATGGTCAAGATTAATTGTGACTACCTCGTACAAAAAGTAAATAGTCTCATTATATACTTTGTCAATTTTCTAATGGGTTCTTTTTGAGCATCAATATTAACTCGTTGATGATTCTTCTTTCGGAGTTTAATAATAAGGGATTCTACTCTACGAAACCATTTAACTTTAATCCAAGAAGGTCATAAATATCCTTAGCTATTCAATTTTAAATTGGACTGGTTGAGTTGTGTCAGAATTCGAAAAATGTTTTTTTGAATTTTGAACCTAATCAACGACACATTTACATCCACCCGATTTGAGATCTGATCGAAAAAAGAATTGTGACCCAATGTAGGAAAAATCGATAAAAGTGACTCGAATCTAGTGTAGGAAAAATCCCAACCCAACCCTTTTTTTTTTAAGAAATTATATAAAATTTCAAAAAATAAGGGATTTTGTTTATAATGCATTTTTCAATGTTTTTCATACAGCAAAGATTGGAAATTGTTCAGGCCATAAATATTTATTTTAAATTTTTTGCCCTTTTTTTTAAAATATCAAAAATACTTTAAATTATTATTATTATTATTTTATTAATTTTTAACTTCATCATAATTTAAATATACTTTTTATATTTTATTAATTATTTTATAATTTTTTAATCGTAAGAAACTTGTCCGATTAGACGGGTTGATTGAACCGACCGGTATACCTAGGCCTAGAAGGGTCCAAGAGAGGGAGACAGAGTTGTGGTACCTGTAGTGGGGATGAGGAAGGGGGTTCCACTGGTGGTCTTGAAGATCTTCTTGACATCCTCGAGGAGTGTCTTAGTCAATGCAGGGATAGCAGGGGAGCGATAATCCTCATTGTTCCTGTTCATTGCCCTTATCACGGGCTCAGGAATATTGACTGGCCCCGGCACAAACAAGTGGTTCCTCCCAGGTCCATACATGTAATCCATCTTCTCTCTCTCTCTCTAAACACAACAGCAAGCTCCTTTTAGACAGAGATTCCTCCTTGTGCAAACCGACTGCTCACACAATTTCTCCTGCAAAACCATCATTCTCAATCAATAAAATGGAGAAATAGAGGAGAGAGAGAGAGAGAGAGAGAGAGAGAGAGTTAGTTTAGTTTTCGTTTCGTTCGTTATTATATAGTATATAGTATACGTAGTAGACGAGTACGTATAGTCTACACTAACTAACAACTACAACCAAGAAGTAGTA